CTACAAATTGTTGCAACCCTCATTGATGGCGCTTTTGTCACTACAAATTCTTGCAACCCTCATTGATGGCGCTTTTGTCTTGCTCCCAACCACTGGCAGCATAGAAGACAATGGACAACTTACTAGATCTCCTCTACTTCCCAAGCACCATTCGATCTCTAACAAAATCAGCTGCATCTCTCGAGTCTCGAGCGCTGCTGGTGCATACTGTTTAAATCTAGTGAACCAGTTCAAAATGGTCATAAGTTTGAATTGGTTGGTTTAGACCACTCAACCGGGTTTAGATTGGTCACACCAATTCAATTCATTCAGCTTAACCCTACTACTCTTCTCCATGGAGGCCCATTACATTTTCCTTCTCGCCTCTTTAAAGCTCATTTGCCTACCAAGGAGTGGCTCGTCTTTAGTTTAGCCTATCAAGGAATTTGTTTTGGATCAGTTCAAAATGCCAGCCCATGGTGGCATTTTTGTTTACTCGTTGAGGTTTGTTGGCATGTTTTGGCCAGCCCATGTTGGCCCATTAACAGTTTTCATAATCAGCCCAGCCCGTAGAGACAGGTGGACAACATCGTCATCACATCACAGCAATTTTGTCAAAAATACATGTGCGCAGGTCTAAAATTCCTATGTGTTTGGAATTGGATTAGAATAATATTAGCTAGAATTTTGAGTTATTTTTCCTTTCTCATTCTATATATTTGTAACTCTCATTCAATTAATTAATGCAATATTTTCAATTTTCTCTAATATTTCACACAGAGAAAAACAGTTCTATAATAGATATAATTGGCATTGTAGAATCTATTAAGGAAGAGTGACTGTTCAGCCCAGGGTCAGAATGTGTAGGTTCAAAGTACATTTGGGGTAGGTGCCAGCTCGGAGTTGATGTCAATTTACAGGTGAATATGAATGCATAGAATATGGGTTTTTGACCTTCTGAATGTTTATAACTTTGCAGTGGAAATCAAAAATCTGCATTAGGCCTGTCTGTACTTCTTCTATCTATTTATTAGTCCCTCTGTCCTTACCCTAAGAAAGATTGTAGTGTTGAAATTTGCTCAGAAGAATTCTGAATCTTTTAGGATGGATCCAATCATAGCATTGAGCTAACCCTCTGGGGGAGTTTTGCAATAAATAATGTTAAGAGCTATAAGAGGTGCTTAAATTTGAGTTTTTCCGGTTTTATCCATTAAGGCTGCAAAGGCGAATGTGGTATCAACCTCCTCCTACTGGTGGGAAGAGGCTCGTAGTCACCCTCAAGCAATAGTGAGATCACTCACCACTCTAGAGGAAGAAAAGGATAAATTAGGGTTCAAACTATTTCATTCATGTCCAAAAGAGGAAGAAGAGGTGAGAAATGTAGGGCTCAGTTGTTATAACAACCTACTAAGCCCATATAAAATATTCTCCCCATCCCCATGATTCTGTGCAGTTCGGATCTGATAGGCATAATGTTGTAAGCACGTTTAATAAGCACTTGAAATTTTTGTACACCTGTCCCTTAAAATACTTTTGAAAAAGATTAAAACCCACTTTTGATACTTTTCAAAGTACTTATCAAGTGTTCATTTAACGTGCTTACTTATGTTGTATCTATTAGATCCGATCCCCTCCGTTAATCTATAGAGATAGGCCAAAACAGTGTTAAGTTTGGGGAAGTTATTCATTGTAATTTCTGTAATGAATTGTCTTTTCAGGCTCAAAATCAAAAAATAAATATATATATATATATATATGCATGATGAAGAGAAAAGGGTAATGACTACTGTTGTTTAGGTTTCGTGGTCTTGATATTTGACATGGATGGTGAAGAAAAACCTTTCATTTGTATCTTGATTACACGTAAAAATCAAATTGCAATCTGATTTTAAACACTTCAAACTACGTTCTTGGAGTGATCATCATGAATGGAAGCGAAAAGTATTTGGGACAACCCCTAGCTTGGTGCTCCTCACTGCGTGCTCAATCTAAGTATATGTATATATATCCTTGAGAAGATGCAATTATAGTTAAAACCTTAGAAGCTGGATTCTCTCTCATGCCGGCCGCACTATCTTAATTAAATCCAATGTATTATATGGTTTCACACTTGCGAGGACATGAATAGGTTGACTCACAACTTCTGGTGGAGATTTCGTGAGAAAGGTAGGAGGCACATTTTTGTCAAAAGTTGGGATGATTTCACTAAACTAGGTTTTTGCAGGTGGACTTGGTATTCATGAAGCTCAAAAAATAAACACGTCACTCATATTCAAACTGCTTTCGTGTTTGCTTTTCGAACCTAATGCACTTCGGGTGAGGGTCTTGAAGAGGAAATATCAATGAAGCCTATTGCAAACAGTTCAAGATTGTGGAGAAGTATCCTTAACTGTAGAAATATCTTCAGACAAGGTTTGTGATGGGTGGTTGGTGACAAGGTTCAAAATATTGATACGTTCGATACGCTGGTAGAGGGGGAGTTCCGATACTTGTTTTTTTACTTTTTTTTATTTTTTTTTACAAAACTGGTTCAGGGGATCCGGTCTAGGACCCCTCCATCCCCTGAACCGGTCAGACCCTCGATACATCCACTGTAGGGGCGTATCAGAAGGGTCCCGAAATGATACGTATCGGCCGATATGTAACGATACTTTGAACCTTGGTTGGTGATGGAGCTAGCATTTAGGTTTTCAACGACCCTTGGATTCTAGGCATTCCATGCTTCTTGCGAGGGACCTTATTGATACAGGCGGGTTTTCTTGGAGAATTAAGGGTGCAACTCGGGTTGGCCCAAGTTAATAATTTACACTGCTTCGGGTTGGGCTCATTGAAATTTTGACAAAACCCCAACCTTATGGAGAATTGGTCAATTTAGAGGAGATTTTTGGCAATCATTGATCAGCTTTACTTGGACTCTCACTCTATATGGTGACTATCACCTATAAATATGGTAACAGATTTCTTTGTGATCTTGAAAGTCCGGCATCCTCCTGCTCAAATGACATAGCTATTTTGATGGCCAAGCTTCAAAGACATTCCCTTCTTCATTGGGTGCTGATGTTCCTTTGGCGAGTTCTGTACTTGAATCCGGTTCTGCAGACCACAACACATTGCTGGCCACATTTATCCAACCGCACATTGGGAATATCGGTGATATAGCACCCAAGAGATGTTCTCAATGTGTGATTGGGTGAACATGGCCATTTCGATTTCAACTGTTTGGTTGGGTGGAATGGTGGAATGACATTCCCCCATTTGAGGGAATGGTCATTTCCTCCCCTCTCTTGGAAATGAAATCTCATTTCAGCTGATTTCAATTCTCATTCTAATTCTTCTCTGAACCAAATAGATTATAAAAGTAAATTATTCTGATTCCAATTTCAAAAGATTTCAATTCCAATTCCAACTGCAATTGAGCCGTGGTGTTCTTTTTGTTAAGAAAATGCCGAATCCTGTGATCACTTGTTTTTCTCCTGTCCAATCGCCAAGGTTGTGTGATTTGGATCTCCCATGCACTTTCGAACTGAAAAGTGGAGTTTGCGATCCTTTTTTGATTGGATCCTGGATTGGCACGAAGTTGACCAATTAAATCTTAAATGCCACTAGCTCACTGTTGACCAGTTAAATCTTAAATGCCACTAGCCACTGTACCACATTTTCACAAGGTCTATTTGCTCGTACCAACTGTGAAAGCACTGCACCAATGTTATTTTCCGGCATGAATTTCCTAACCTGGCTTCTATTGTAATAGCTGCACAGTCCCACACATGGTTTTCAAAAACCAGACGATTAAACCGGAAAAACCAAGAACTGGTCAGGTGACCAATTCCGTTTTACCCTAGAATCATTATTTCCCCCAAAACCGTTGATTTGGTCAGCAAACCATTGACCTGAGCGGTCAAGCCATTCGAACCATTCAACAATTTGGCCAGTTTTTTTTTTATTTTTTTTTTGTCAGAACAGGCCATCCGTTCAGTTCAAACGGTCAAACCATTCAACCCGAAAACCAGACCCCTGACTGGTTCATTGTCCAAGTCGATTTTAAAAACCTTGGTCCCACATTTCCAGTATTCTCAACAATCACGCCCATGGCCCCAAAACAAATCTTCACTCTTTCTCAGAAAGCTCCTACCACTGGCTTCGTAGTCTCTCAAATATTGATGCAGCTTGTCTGCTTAGCCGTGCAACATAGATTGAGATTTAAGGTATATCCAATTTTTATTGTCTCCTTTTAACAATCACATGTCAAACACAACTTGCTTTCAGCCGACTTTTGATGTATTTGCTTTGTTTGTTTGTTTGTTTTTTCCTCATTTTCTGCTCCTGAAATATACACTATGAACCATAAAACAACCGGATCATTGAATTATTTAATCATAGGTTGCAAATCGAATGGAATTTGGATAAGGGTATATCTAAATTTGATTCGATATGAAAAACTTGATATCCAGATACAATTCAGATCCGACAGTTTTTTTTCCGAGAAAAAGGTGATTGACGAATTCGATCCCATTATACCTGGACGGCTGGACGTTAGACTAGTGAACTGTGAGCACTTGGACTGTTGAACAATGACCAAAGAACATCTGCAAATACCAGAGAGAAAATGCAAATTATTAATCATTTACACTTCGTTTATACATTAATACTAAAAGAAATAGAAAACCCTAGTGCAACAATGCCAACAGTCCAACCTGAACCTAGGTGTACCTCACCTGCGGTGGCGACTGAAGTAGATCAGAGAGTAGACCAGTGATATTGCAAGTGAAATGGCAGCTCTCAGATTTGTCAAAAACATCTCTTCTAAGAGACTTCTGAGAAATAGCATCTCTATTGTTCTGGTGAATCGGCAATGCAGGTAAAGCCATAAGGGAGAATGACAAAAATGAGTTTCAAAGTACTTTCTTGTGGGCCGAGGCTTCAGCTTATTCCGATGGGATGTCCAGATCCAGCTTAATCAGATCGGATTCGAATTTGAATCAGATCAGAATCCAATTTGTAACCATAATCAAACAAGTACATATGCAAAAATAAACAATCTCATTAAGATGGTGCAATGTCAAGTTACCCACATTCAAAAAAGTGGAATTGGGCCTTAGAACACTGTTAATTGTAAACAACACCACCGTCTGGTGCATTAAATAAAAGATCCCACAGACATTATATAGGAGGGTAAGAAATGCAGCATGAAATTGCAACTCAACAGAAACAATGGAAATTCTTGAATGCATGTTGCCAATAATACTGCAACATGTCTTCTAAGCTGCAAAAGCATCAAATTTGATTCTGCTTGTTACTGCTTTCCACTGCATGTTGGTTTTCCAGGTCCCAACCCCCATCCCACTGAACAGGTCCATAAGGACTAGTACTCCCACGGATCCTTTTCTGCAGATGTTCTAAGCTGGCCACCCGCTGCATGGAAGATGTCCGGACCATCTTTGTTCCGCCGTTGACATTCTGCACATCATCACCTGGGGCAACTGGAGGAACATCAGGCAAGCCATTGTTCAATCTCTGATCATGTGGAGTGCCAGTAGGAGCACTAGGAGAAGGTTGATAGAAGTGCTGGTTAGGGTCATCTTGCACAGGGACAGCAGCATCTGGAGATGCATCAGATGGACTGCCAGAAAATGCCATGGCAATGTTGCCTATGTCAGCAGACATGGCCTGGAGAAATGGATTAAATCCTGTTACTCTCTTTACTGTATCTTCAGCCATCTTTACCTGGAAATTTAATCACGCGAACATGAGCCCAAAATTTTTCCCTCAATAGAAGGCAATGATCTTAAAGGAATTATCTTAGGAATCATTCAAGCAGAACTATCAATACCAGAGTAAGATATGCATTATAACAAATACAGTGATCACTTGCAATGCAGGTATAATTCTGTGTTGCAAGTTCAATGAGCACTTGTAATACAGGTATAATTCTGTGTACGCCTCTCTCATATACACACTTCTTTTCCATTAAAAAATTGATAAAAAAACTAAATTACAGTGATCACTTTCACTATAATTGGTTGGTTTTTTGACAGACACCCCACCATTCAATTCTATGTAGCATTTGACTATTTTTAAGAAATCAACCACAACCTTTTGAATTATTTATGTAACAATAAATTGAGTCATCCTAGAGACCAGTTGATAACAGCTGAATTGGTTCAACCGTATTACTTATTCTTAGAGCTGTAAAGTGGACCACTGTAGCAAGCGGGTTGTGCCCAGCCCAGCCCAAACTATGGTATCGTGCCGGGCTTGGATTTTGAGGCCCACGGCCTGGCACCGCACAGCACAGCTCATATATATAATATTATATTAATATATATACATATATATATATATATGTGTGTGTGTGTGTGTGTAAATTTTTATTATGCTATTTTATTACAATCCAATTTTATTGTAATTTTTTCAATTTCTTGTTTATCTTGTAAATTTATCTTTTTGCTTTTTCATTAATTGTTTTCAACTTTTTATTTAAAAATCATGCCACCTGTGGCCTGGCCCGGCCCAACACAGCACAGGCCCGCTTGGACTCATGGCACGGGCCGTGTTGAGCTTACCTTTAGAGGGGTTCCTGGCCAGGCAGGCATGGCCCGCCCAGGCCTGCATGTCAGCATGGTATGGCCTGCTAAAATGCGGGTTACCCACAAAAGTGGGTCATGCCGCTACTTATTCTTTGCCTTTTTGTGAATAAGTTCTTAAGAAGGTTGTGAGCTCCTTAATAGCTGAAACAGATTTGGGTCGATTACAGCATCTAGAATAGTTTACTATTTAAACATTTTATATTCACTAAAAGGCAAAGCAGTATGTTATTCGGTTCAGCCCACTTCATCCATTATCAAACAGCCCCTCAAACACTTCTTAACAGAGCAAATATGGTTGTACAAAATAAGGCCACATGATTGTTTGAAACCTGGCACTGTAACATATTCTCATCAATTGTCAAGAAATAAGGTAACTACAAGACAAAATCAACAAAAAATGCCACATGATTGTTTGATTTTGTTGTTCTCCAATAAGGATATCCAACTTGCAAATGCATCCAACTAGCAAAGGATCTTTTTAATGGAACTCTTATTTTGGAAAGTGATAATCTCTCTCTGATTAAAGCTTTGGTTGACAGAGGCTGCATCAGCTAGTGATGCGTTCTTTTTGTGTAAAGATATCCTAGCTACTTCAGCTGGTCTTGACTTATCTTTTTCTTTTTGTTAAAAGGGAGGGTAATACATTGCCTCACTTGCTAGTGCATATGGGCTTAAGGATTCAGGACTTCTCTTTGAGTCTATGCCTTTATGGCTAGCTGATTGGGTGAATTTGAACTCTTCAGTGATGTAATTATCAACTTTTCTTTTTAATGAATTTCTTAATTACCAAAAAAAATAAGGATATCCTTATGTCAGAAACCCACAAATAGTAGATGCAATTCATCTGCAAGTACACCATGTCTATTGCCTATCTCGCAGTGTAGGACAAGCATATAGGCAAATTGGAGTAAACTTACATTCTACACGTTAGACAGTGTATGCCCCTTAGCTCCAATCGAAATGATGTACCTTATGACATTTAATGTAAATGAATAAAGTACATATTTGATTCATGTTATTGTGGTGTGTTTCTCTGTAATACCCTTAAACTGGACACATATGAGACTCGTGTTAGTTTAGAATGTTCACAGCCGTTGGATAAGTCTAAGGAGATTTATCCTGCCAAGGCTGACACTGATGTGCCGCCAAGTTGGTTGGGGTAGCCTGTCTCAGCTGCCAGGGTGAGACCCGAGGTACATGCAGTGTAGGTTTACTTGAAACCCTGAACCGGACCAGATTTCCAGTATTGCCCTGGACCTTGGAGATTGATGGGCAAAACTGGAAAGTTACACATGACCCCTAGACTC